ATAATAATAAAGTTGAAAAACAAAAACAAAAAACAAAAAAACATATGTGTATAAAAATATATATTTAAACATAAAAAATAAAATAAATAAGTAAATAAGTAAAAGAGAGTTATCTAAGATATTCAGAAATAACTTAACTCTTTGTCAATAGTAAGAAGTTTTAAAGTTTTATTTTAAGTAGGAAAAGAAGTAGTAGTTTTGATGTCGTTTAAGACATCAAAACTACTATTATTAAATTTAGAATTCCATAATTTGGGTCCTCTATTTGCAATAGAGAATTTAATGGCGGTATAATAGTTTTTGGGTTGAATGTAGTTCTGGTTTAATAATCTAGTAGACCAAAAATTATTTATTTTGTTAAAAAGGTTAATATTACAGGTGTTATTTTGTTATCAATTTTGTACATAAAAGTAAGTATGTGATAAATGCTTATTTGATAAACATTGAGTATATTTAGTTTATTAAATAAACGTGTTGCGGACGTTGACCTATTTACGTGTAAAATAATTCGTAGAGCATATTTTTGTCTACTGAATAGTTTTTTTGTTTTGGTTGCGTTGGTGCAGCACCAAGCAATATTCCCATAAATAAGGGAGCTGTGAGTAAAAGAAAAGTATGTTTTTTAAACAGTTTTGGTTTGAAAACGTTTTAACTTTATATAATAAGCTAATATTTTTTGATATTTTGTTTTCTGTGTATGCGCTACAAAAGATATTTGTCAAGAAATACTCTTAAGAACGCGCACGAGGCTAAATTTTCAGTCTGAGATCTAGAAAGTGTTTTAAATTTTAATTTTTAATAATTTCTAAATTTTATTATAATGTACCATAAAAAGTACACAAATAAAAAATATACTAGAATTTTTTAGGCTACCTTGAGTTTTTAGAGTTTCATAACATACTCAGACTTGCTGAAATTCTGAAGAACTATAAAATGCATCTGACCACATCTGAACAAGTGATACTTTGTCTTGAACTTCTTGCGAAACACCTTTTATGAAAGAATTTTGTAGAATAATAGAAGTAGAATAGTAGAATAGCAATTTTGATTGTGCAAAGGACTCAAAAGATAACCTTGATATGTCAGAAAACTCCTTCTTAAAAATTAATTTTGCGAAAAATTTATAACATGTTTATAAACTTTTATACTATACTACTTAAACTATACTTTTATATTATTTAAAAACTTTGGCATATAAAATTCGCCGAATGGTCACACACGAGCAGTGAACGCCTGAGTGAAGAAATAAAGTACATTAGAATAAAGGAGAATTATTTATTAGACAAAGCATTTTTGACAGTTGTCAAGACAAAAATAAAGATTAATAGAGGAATATTTAAAAATAAATAAGACAATACAACCAAAACAGCGTTTCGATGAGGATCAGCATTTATAACTAGTTTATCCCGTCAGACAAACGTCATTGCCACTTATGCTTTACCCCGCGACTTACGCCTATTCCATACTGCAGTAAAAAAGGACTCACTACAAATAGCCAAAACCCAACCAACCCCAAATTTGTAAAGCACCAATATTTCTTTTGATGATATGATATAAACAGTATAGAATTACTGAACAAACAAAAATTAAAATAAATAAAAAAAAAATTAAAATAAAAAACTTACCATACCACCAAAAGAAAACATGAAAACAAAATAAATTAAAATTCTAATAGAAACATAAAAATATTAATCAATTTATTTTAAAAAATAAAACCAAATAGGTATTATTATCAGAAAGTAGTATACCTCATTAGAAAAAATTTTTTAATCAACAAAACAACAATAGCCTTAAATAAACTCTAACGCTGTCATAGATACCTCATTCGAAATATGATAACCAATCAAAAGTGTAGGAAAATGAGTAATCCGCGAAACCCAAAATCATAACAATAATAGAATAATATATGATAGCGAAAAAGAACGTTGCACAAAAACCTTAAAAATGTAAGCGACATATATGTAAACATTTAATGAAGGATATAAAAATATTCTCTGAATAAAGTAAAGATGAAAATTGTGCATGTGAAAATTAAAACAAAGCTGAGTAATGAATTCAAGATAATATAACATGAAAGTTTCTGTAAACAGTAATAATATGAAAATCAGGAGATAAGTAATATATTAATAAATATAGCAATAAGACTAACTAAATATTGTAATAAAACCAGATAATTTTAAGCCAAATGAGTGGTTAAAAAATTAGTTGTGGGTTATATAACAATGATATAAATCGTGATATAAAAACGATAAAGAAAGCGGGAAAAAAAAATGTTAAGAAATGAAGTTTTCTCTACGGTCCGTACGGTCCGTGCTTATGAATCCTTTATTGCGATTCTGGAATAAAAAATAGCAAAGTAAAATAGTTTTGATAACTTTAAATTTAATAAGCAAAAAAATTATAAATGAAATCAAAACTTCTTAAAAATGAAAGTGTAATGTGACCAAAAAAAGTGTAATGTAAATATAAAAGTGTGACCAAGGTTTAGCTATTAATTATAAAAAGTTGATTAAACTTAAAAAATACTTAATAAAAAAATTACTTAATTTCAAGGAAATTTTTTTACATAGTTTTTATCATTTCTATACTTTATGTTGCAATCAACTAAAAATCTGAGTTTTGATTTTCATTACCTTAAATTTGGATAAAACTCAACAACAAAAAAAAAAATAAAAAAAAAAAATAAACGATATATAAATATACAGGGCCGCCGCGTGGGGAGGGTCACTGGATGCTTTTTACCTGGGCGCAGAATCAGAAGGGGCGTACAAATGAAAACTTTCAAAACAAGTGAAAACACTAGCAAAAACCGTTGCGGGAAAATATTTTTAAGGGCTGCTAGGTTAAAAAAGAGCGTATATAATCAATATATATATATGTAAATATATATATATATATATATATATATATATATATATATATATATATATATATATATATATATATATATATATATATATATATATATATATATATATATATATATATATATATATATATATATATATATATATATATATATATATATATATATATTAAATATGGAATGGTGACATCAATGGAGTTAAAAAATGCCACCAAAACAATCCATCGAGACTATTACATTAAGTGAAAAACAGTGTTAAAAGGGAAACCGGTGCGAGATTGATTCAAGTTTAGAAAAATCAATACGAAATGAGGCAGCCAGGCAGCGTGAAATTTTAAAGTGCATCTTAGATGTATATTAGTGAATGTTAATTACAGGTATATTAGTGAATGTTAAATATTGTATTTATATTTATTTCATAATTTGTTTTTATTATAATTAAACAGAAATATGTAAACATGTATTATTACATGTATGTATTAAAATCGTCGTATTAGACTCTTTAAAAATGATCAATGATGACGATAACGGCAATTTTCTTGCAACTCTAGAGCTACTCGCAAAGCACAACAAGACCCTTTAGTTACATCAGAAAGAAGTTTCCTGGTGTCAACATGAAGGTAAACAAATTATTGTGCGTTCTTTGGAGTAGAGTTCCCAAAATGATATTATAAAAAAGTGCGGAAGAATCGTCCACGGTGACATCATTAAAGAATCGCATATAGTAATTTACTATTTTATTCTTGTCAACGGAACGCCTGACGTCTCTTATACTGAGCATATTGCATTTGTTCTTCGCTTTGTCTACAATGGTATTGATAAAAGACAGGTAGTTAAGAAGCAATTTATTAAGGTCGAAAATCTTAAACAAAAGAAAGTTGTGGATATTGCCAAGATAATTATGGATTTCTAGGATCAAAGTAACATCAATCTGAAGAACTGTTGAGATTAAGGGTACAACAACGATGCCAACATGTCTGGTGTGTACAAAGGAGTAAAAGGGATCATCCTTCAGAAAAATCCTGAAGCTTTCTACATGCTATGCAGCGCTCATAACCTTAACCTAGCTGGTGTTCATTTCCTTGAATCTTCTGTAGAAATGAAGAACTATTGTGGCTGGATTCAGTTACTCCACAATCTTTTTAGTGGAAGCCCTATACAATGTCAAACCTTGACCAAGACAACTGGTTTGTCTCTTCATTAAACCTCACAAACCCGATGGAGTGCACGGATTGAGACTTTGAAGCCGTTGGATAAGCAACCTAGAGAAATTATTTTTTCTTTGCAGAAACTTCAGAAACTTGATTTAACTGCTGATCTATTGAATGACGTAAAATCTTTGGAGAAATAGATTTATTCATTTGAGTTTATTTTCATGACAACATTGTGGTTCGAAGCGCGCCAAGCAATTGTCAGCGTGTCATTTCAATCAGAAAACATTACTTTAGATGAAGATATGAAGTTTATGAGGGTTCCTATCAAGGATCTTATGAATTTAGATATTCTTGGCTCGAATTAGTTAATGAAGACTCTTGGTTACCTCCGGTTTAGCTAGTTATGGGTCTTAGCCAAAGTTAGTTCAAAAAAGGACAAGGAAGAGAAAAACCTTTTACAAAGAAGCAAGTAATGAAGTTCATTTCTACAAAAACGATGAAAAGTAGTTTGAGGTGAACGTATTTAACACTGTACCCGTTTTTCAAAACGCCTTTAGATGCTTTTTACGTATTTCGAGAAAAACGCTATTAAAAATACAAAAAAAGTTTTTGTAAAACGTTTTTTATGAAACATAATTTGTATGAACTTTTTCAAACTTTTTTAAAAACAATTATTCAATAACTTTTGCAGGCACCTAAATAATTTTGATTTTTTTTATCTTTAGGTGTTATGAAAAACGGCTGAAGAACACCGCTCTCAATACTTTAATCCAACAAATAAGAGACAGATATATATATATATTTATATATATATATATATATGTATATATAACTTTTAACATAATTGTATCCATTTAAGTTGTTTTGAATTAAGGGTTTTAATTTTTGCTTAGCTTTTCAATATTTGAAATAGTGTGTTAAATTAATTAAAGTCATTACAAAAATTATTCTGAACGGTTTTTATGTTGTTTTTTTATAAGTGGATGCAAGGTAACTGGCAATCAGATCCGTTTTATAAAAACAACGGAGTTGATGGATCACTGTGCTCAATAATAAATTATTTGAGTAAGGTAATTAGCATTTTTTTAATAATAATTTTATTAAAAATGCATTTTTAAAAAACTCTTACTGAAAAAAAAATTTTATAGGTGGAAAAATTTTGTCCTTGTGCTGTACCAATAGATTCTCGTTACCCAGAATGCGCAAATAAAGTTTCAGTAAGCAACTAATACATATAGATTTTTTTATTTTATGACATTTGTTTATTTGTTTCTTTTAGTTTAGTTTCTTTTGTTTATTATAGTTAACTATTTAAAACTTTTTAAAATTTCAAATATGGATACATTTATTTACTGCACTCTTCACACAGCTGTACATGTGCTAAAAGTTCTTTCTTACTTTCTCCTCCTCATTAAATATTTAATGTAGAAAATATTAGTTAGCATGCTTTAAATGTTTTTTATATTTATAAAAAACTGTATTTAAACTAGAGTAAAACTGTATTTTTAGTTGTTTATTATTGAGTCATATTTTAAACATAAATATATATTGTTAATAAATTGAAATCTTTATAAAAAAATATTCTTTGGATAAAATTATATATATATATATATATATATATATATATATATATATATATATATATATATATATATATATATATATACATACATATTCATAAGTGTATATATATATATATATATATATATATATATATATATATATATATGTATATATATATATATATATATATATATATATATATATATATATATATATATATATATATATATACATGTATGCATATATAAATTAGTAAAAACAAATATATAAATATATATATATATATATATATATATATATATATATATATATATATACATATATATATATATATATATATATATATATATATATATATATATATATATATATATATATATATATATATATATATATATATATATATATATATATATATATTTATATATGTATATATATATAGATATATGCATATATAAATTAGTAAAAACACTTATCTAATTTTCTTCAGCAATTTATTTTCCCATCAGGTATTGTACCCTTCCATCTGATATTTTACCCTTATAATTAATTTATGTGGGAGTAATTTTTTAATAAAATTAATCCGACATGAATTTCTAAATTATGTTAATATATATATAAATATATATATATATATATATATATATATATATATATATATATATATATATATATATATATATATATATATATATATATATATATATATATATATATATATATATATGACAATCCAGAGATACACCGAGATCTTTTGGATTATAAGACCAAGCTCAGGTATGGTCTTTTAACTTAAAGCTAAAGTTAATGCATTTTCTTAATTAGCAGGCGCAATGCTTTACACAATATACTTGCTGCAAGAAATTTGTAGTTGCCATGTTTCTGTCAAAATAACAACATGATTAAAAGCACAAAGTAAGCGGGGCGTTGGTCCGTATTGTAAAATAAACTCTACAAGTTAATGTCATTGACATAACGCTTTAAAGAGCAATCAAGATTGTTAACTGTGGAGATTAAATTGTCGATATAAAGAAGATTAATGTTAAACATAACACGCTATCCTAAGGATCTCCGCTAACATTGAGAGTTGAGCTAATAGTTTAGTACAGAATCAAATGCCTTTTGAAAGTCAATGTAAGCAACATCTGTTGTTAGATGCTTTTTTAGTGTAATACCCAATCATTTAAAGATTTTAAAAGATTTTTACAAATTAGGCGTTTCTTGAGGAAATCATGTTAAATATTGACTATTATGTTAGGGTAAGTAAGTGCAAAATAATTTTCCACTAATGAGGTTACGAATATATCTATTTATCAGAGACCTTGCTTATATTTCTGAAATTTTAAAATCATCTTCGTCAAAGTTATTTTTAAGGTGGAATGATATTATGTACTCCAGAATAGAAAATTTAATTAAATGGTCTGGTCGCAATGAATTCATAGCATCTATGCTTTTGTGTTTCCGAAAATATTTTCAATCAAAAGTGGCTGTAATATTCAAGCATTTTGAAATATTCGTAAATAAACTATCGTATCTATACGCAAGAACAACAACTTGGTAACAATAATAACATTATAATACTGCTAAGTTCTTTATAGGAGTTAGCCAACAAGGTCTGATAACATTTGTTTCTTAGGCTTGGAGATGACGTGTCAGTAATAAATACCTAACAGAGCATTATTCAATTTAATGAAACATTTTTCCTAGAGATACTTTTTTAACTGATTTAACATTATTGATAGTCTCAACTTTTATTGTGAGAAATTAAAGATTCCTAGACTTACAAAAGGGAAAATACAATTATTTTGTTTAGATATCAACCCCAAAAATCGTTTCTGTTCGTGCACACTATCAGAGATTTAAAGGAATTAAATAGCTAAGTAAAAGTAAAATTTATAATCAAAAATATACAATATAAATCATTTTAGTTAAAATACAAAACATATTTTAAAGTTACCACTTTTTTTTTGCAGTAATCTTTGCTCATTAAAAAGTTTGATTACTTTTTTAAAGTAGTTGTGTTATATTATAATATGTTCATTTTTATTTGGTATTTCTTTGTTACAACAATTTTATTGCTGTAAAACTTGTCAAATAGTTTAGGTAAAATACACTTTTTAAAAATTATTAACATTTTGTTTTATTTCTTTTTATAAATTCAAAATCCGGCAATAGCCTTTCACAATACCAATCTTTTGATATCCAAATTTAAAATTCACACAAGTTACCTAATCAAGCAAATAGGTGACACGTGCATATACTTATACAACACGTATCAAGTTTATTTGAACTTGATAGTAAAATTTACGTAATTTTTTAAGAGCTAACCTTCTTAATTTTTAAGACAAAAGTTTTTACGTCATAACAACTCCCTGATTTATTTATCTTTACCATTTAACGGAAACTTTATTTCTGAACAACCATTTCCGCAACTATCACAAATAATAACTGCAATTGACGATGATAAAATGCATACAAATTGGTATTTTTTTATTGTTTATTTTTAATTTTTTTTATTTTAGGTGCTCCAAGAAGTCCTTACGGTCTTATCACAGAGCACCTCGGATGAGCATTTAATAGGAAGTTCACGCCTCCTTTCCAACCGATGTCGCTAAACTTGCCCAGAGGTGGGGTTTGAACCACGGATCCTTTGTTTATGAGGCAAGTGCGCTTCCACTGCGCACGGTTGCTCTTATTTCCTTTATACATTTAGTATTTTTTTTGTTATTTAGTAACTGCATTTAGGAAAAAAAAAATAAAAAAATAAAACAACAACAACAAAATAAAACGCGAGCAGTGCATAAAAAACAAAGTAAGGAAAAAATCAAGATATGCTTGCGGAGGTTGCGCTAAACAAGCAGTTGTCTGTATTGATCCCTGTTTTAGATTGCATTATCAAAGCATAGGAGAAACGGATGACGCATTACCGATTTCAAGCAAATGCAAATGATATATAATGTTTATATATAAATGTTATTTTTAAATCTGTAATTCTTTCAATGAAAAATCAAATTGAATTAATACTTTAAATAAGATATTTACGATATACTGCCCTTAAAGACCGTAAAATGTTCCCTTTTTATTTAAAATCAAAGAAAATGTGAAATACTTACAAATATATGTTTTCACTTTAAAGTCTAATTAATAGATGTTTAATTTAAATCTTAAAAGCAATTTTAGAAAATAAAACCTTTAGAATAAAAAGTTAAATAAAAGCCGAGGAAGTATACTCGCAGTCCGTACGCAATGATAGTTTCGTTCAATGAGTATACTCGTTTCTCGTACGCACCGAGTTAAAATTTATTTTTATAAATCTCAATATTTAAATGTAAAATAAACGGACACATATAAATAACAAAAAAAATTTGATCATTTATCACAATAGTTTTAACATTTAGAACTTTCAAAAAGATTCTCTTGAAATGTTTTTTTAACTTTTATTAGTTTCTAAATATGCCCAGAGGCGATTCTACAAACAAAATGACGGGAGGAGGAGGCGGGGGGAGGGGGAAAGAATTTTTAAAAAAGTACCGACTGGCTTCTAAAAAAAAAGTTCTTCAAAACTGAAAATTTTCCACTGAATTGTGCCGACTAAATTTGTAAAAAAACCGACTATAACTTGAACGCCATCTTCTTTGTGGTGGTGGAACACCCCCGTCCCTTTCCTCCTCTGTAAAATCACCTCTGCATGCGCATACTCAAAGTCTTTAATTTTTTTATTATTTTTCTATAAGTGGATGCTAGGAAACTGGCAATCAAATCCGTTTTATAAAAACAATGGAGTTGATGGATCAGTGTGTTCGATAATAACCTACTTGAGTGAGGTAGTTAGTTTTTTTTTAAATTTTTAAACTTATCCTAAATGCCTAAAAATGTTAAACTCTTTAAAAACTTTATTTTAGATAGAAAAGTTTTGCCCCTGCGCTGTACCAATTAATTCTCAATTTCCGATTTGTCAAAATAAAGTTTCAGTAAGCAGCTTATTATAGAGCATTTTATATTGTGTCAAAAGTATTTTATGTTTTTATTATTTTAAATTTAACGTTGATCTTTTTAAAACAACTTTTAACTATTTGTATGTTTATCATAATAATTTTTTATGTAACTTAGGTTAGCTTATTTTTGTTTTTAGCACTACTCATATTGCCTAAATTTAACTTATATGTAGCATAGGTTAAAAATATATAAAGGATTTAAAAATAAATAAACTAAAAAAATTACAAAAAAAAAGAAAAAGAAAAGAAACAATTAGCGATCTTTTCTCAAATAATTAATTAAATGTGGACTAATGTATTGATAAACATTTCTTATAATAAAACGTAATATATATAATAGATTTATATAATAAAATACTGTTGTGCTTATCTTGCTAACACTTTCCCCATTCGTTTTTATAAATTAATTAAATATTGATATATAGTAAATTAATAATATATAATTTTATTTATAAAGTTAAAAAAAAAAACTGTGTGTGTGTGTGTGTGTGTGTGTGTTTGTGTGTATATAGGAGACCAAGGCAGCAGGTAATTTATAAAAATGTAAAATAATCTATTCTAATTTCTACATTATTTGATTAAACTTTTTAAATATATATATATTTTTTTTATCTTAAATTTGATTTATTTCAGAAAAAGAAAGAACTTCGCAGTTAGTATAATACTGTTAAAACCAGCTAAACTAAGTTTACCAGTGCATAATAACATATTGTTATTGTGATTATCTAAAATTGGTTGTTAAGATAAATGGGTTTGAACTTAGGCTTTTAAATTTAACTTTATCGCATTAAAAGAGATTTACTAGATTTAATCAATTTTTTATAAATTTTAAAAAGAAATTATATTTTTTTAAAAAATAATATATGCTTTAAACTGTAAATTAATATAAGTAAAAAAAAAATTAGTCTAAGAAAAGTATATCATAGAGACTAAATGAAAATGAAACAATCACACAACTAGACAAAGAGAATGGTATAAATATTTTTAATAAGGTTGACTTATTACATCTTTTACTAATGCTATAAATGATAAAACTAAGGAGTTAAAAGACTAACTATTAAGTGAGAACTATCTAGTTATTAAAAGAGAACTATCTCCACAAGAGTATCTTGGGATACTTAAAAAACGTAAATGTTTTAAAAATGAAGTTTACAATAAACTTTATCCTGTTAGTTCACAAACAGCAAAATTTTATGCATTACCTAAGATGCACAAATTAAATAAATTTTTTTTTTCAGACCAATTATTTTAACAGTTAGGACATATAATAATAAACTTGCCAAACATATTTTTAATTTACTATTTTTTTATATGCAAAAAATTTATATTACATGTGACTCTTTTTCTTTTGTTGAGGAATTAAAATAAGTTGATATTACTAACAGATATATTGCTTATTTATTAATATTCCACTTAAGGTAGCTATAATTATAGCTACTTAATTATACTTTAAAGATGAAACGCGTTTGAAATTTTTTTCTAAAGCTCAGTCCAAACCCTAACCCTAACCCTAACCCTAACCCTAACCCTGACCCTGACCCTGACCCTAACCCTGATTTGAACCAGCGGGATAAAAGTTTAAGTTCTTTATTCACTCTGGCAAAAAGTTCGCTAATATCGCTCTTAGAGATAAATAAATTAATATCATCAGCGAACATGATACTTATCAGATTAGTTGCTTTATTTTGATATCGTTTATATAAATTAAAAAAAAGTAGGGGTCCGAGGATTAATTGGTTTTTACGCAAAAATGGGTAATTACTCTTCCTCAATACCAATTCCTCACAATAAACGTGGATGATATTATTGCTATTTTCAATTAATAGTTTTTTAAACATCTTAATAAAAAACGTAAAAACTTAAAATTTTCTGCGAAAAAAAAAAACAAAATAATCAAATTGCATTTTTAGATGTTCTTATCATTAAGTCTGTTTTGATTTTCACAACAGTTTATCACAAAAAACATATACGGATCTTTTACAAAAACTTTCCAGTTTTGTTCCTTTGTTTTATAAAATTACCCTTTGTTGATTTGATTGGTTATTTAATTGATAGAACATAAAGTTAGCGAGGATTTGATTAGGATATAAAAAATTTATCTATTGTTTTAAAAAAACAACCGAATTCCACCAAAAATGATTGACACTGAAAATAAATTATTTGTCGATGAAAAGTTAAACCTATCTGTTATATATAGTATTGATAATCCTAATATAAGACATTATAAACTTTAATTTATTGGATTTTACTAAAATTTCACCAAATCTAAAACTAATAAAACGATTGACAAATATTGTAAAGTTGTCATACTTTTTTATTTTTCACAACCACCAAATTATAAAAGATTTTTGTGTGAAATTCCCATTTACTAGGCTGCTCAAATCTAATTTTGTTTACAAATTTTATTGTGCTGGCTGTAAAACCAGTTATATTGGAGAAACCTCGAGGCATTTAACAACAAGCTTTATGAGCATCTTACAAGTGACAAACAACCTAATGTTTACATTCAGTTTCATTTGTTAAGAGTAAAAATTTAACTAACTATAATTGTTTTAAAATTTTTGATACTGCTCCAAACAATAACAAATCGAAAATTAAAGTAGCACTCCGTACTAAATGGGGAAATCCATCTTTAAATAAACAAACTGCTCATTTTAATTTAAACTTGTCAATCTAGTTTAATAAATTTTCTTATATGTTTTTATGCAACTAATGGTACCATAACTTGTATTTTATTTATTAAATACAAGTTATGATACTGAGAGGAAAGAATCATAAGCACGTGCCCCCCCCCCCTCCTATTTTTTTTTCTATAGAACCTTTTTTTTTTTTAAGAAAATTCTAGATACAGAAAATTTTTTTGAGAAATTGACCTCTTCAAATCTTGTGTCGTCGGCCCTGCATACACATACGCACACAAACGCATATACATAGATACATATATATATTTTTAGGGTTTTGCAAAAAGATTCTTTGGAATTATGATTTAACTTTTTTTATATAGTTTTTAAAAATGTAACATTATCTTAATTTACATTCACATAAAACGTTTTAAATTGTTGTTTTATTGTTTCATCATAAGTGGATGTTAGGGAATTGGCAATCAAATCCATTTTATAAAAACAACGGAGTTGATGGATCAGTGTGTTCAATAATAACTTACTTGAGTAAGGTAATCAGCATTTTTTTTTATTTACTAATGTTATTATAATTGCATATTACATTAGTACTCATTACGTTTGTTCTTTTTTTAGGTGGAAAAGTTTTGCCCCTGTACTGTACCAATTAATTCTCAATTTCCATTCTGTCAAGACAAAGTTTCAGTAAGCAGCCCTTATAAGAACATATATATATATATATATATATATATATATATATATATATATATATATATATATATATATATATATATATATATATATATATATATATATATATATATATATATATATATATATGTATATATATATATATATATATATATATATATATATATATATATATATATATATATATATATATATATATATATATATATATATATATATATATATATATATATATATATATATATATATATATATATATATATATATATATATATATTAGGTTGGGTTAAAAAACATAATTTTTTATAATAGCTCTAAATATATGCGATATAATAAAATATTACTGGACTAACAAAAAATTTAAAAAAAAAAAAAGTTTTCTAGAGGTGCCCTAAGTCCCTGGAATATATATAGGGCCCCTAATATTCTGGGAAAAAGAATTTTTCAAAAGTTGGTCAGCCAAGTGCTTAAAAAAAGAAACGTGAAATTTTATAAAAAGTTTGAAAATAATAAATTTTTTATAAAAAAACATATTAAAAAAAATATCAACAAAAAAATTTAAAAAATGCACTCATTTCATTTTTAGTCTAAAAACGATAGTTATCAAAAAATAAATTCTAAAATAATTATTTTTACATTAAACAAATATTATTTTTGAACTTTTTATATAATTTTGCTTCATTTGAGTACCATGTTGACCTACTTTTGAAGAATTTTTTTCCTAGAGTGTTAGGGGCCCTATAAATATTCCAGGTACTGGGGGCACCTCTAGAAACTTTTTCTTTTGAAATTTTTTGTTAATCCAGTAATATTTTATTAAATCTTATATATTTAAAGCTATTAAAAAACAGTTTTAAAAAAATTATGTTTTTCAACCCACCCTTATATATAATTAATATTTTTTTCGTTTAGTTGCTAAATACATTTTTACTTAGTGTTTTTTTTTAAAGTTTTTTTTTTGATGTAAGGTATCTAGACTATTTTTAGAGCTAAATTAAATTTTTTTTATGTTTAATAAGTTGCATTACTTAAGATATTTCATTTTCAAAATAGTTTCAACCACATCTTTAGCTTATTTAGTTCCAAATATATTGATATTTTAATACTTTCAATATTCGGACTTTCGAAGAAATATTGTCATTAAGTATCGCGTTTATTTTTTGGCACCGAAATATATTTTTAAAAAAATGCTATTTTTGTGCATAAAATTTATCTGCAATAAGAAATTTTTTCTAATATTGGTTCAAAAATAAAATTTTGAATCTATATTATTTTAACAATTTATTAATATAATTTTTTCAGTGTTTTGCAAACATGGACTATTAACTGATCAATTAACAGTAAAATATGTTTTTAAAATTTTTGAAGATTTTAAACAATAAAATATTTAAATTAGTGAATTAAAAAATTCAAATTAGTGAATTTATTAAGTGAAAAACTCAGATCCAAACATCAAAATTCCTATGGATAACATATTATCTAATATTTACTTTAACATAAAAAAAAAGTTGTCGGCAACAAAAAGTTTTAATTTTTTTTTAAATTAAAACTGCAAGTAAAGTAGATGTGTTGAAAAATTTTAAATTTTAAACACTTATCTACTTTACTTAATGAAGTGCACCAACGAGAAGGTAAGCAATAGGACATTGCACTCTATCTGTAAGTTGTCCTGTGGCCTAAGGTTAACCCATCTCTGGATTCTTTACTTTATAGGCAGTTAATGAAAAGTAATAGTAACTTAGCCTAAGGACAGCCCTTCATTTCTGGATTCTTTTCTTTTTATGTTTTAATTTTAATTTTTATTTTTATAATAACATGTAGTTTAGCATAACCCATAAATACAAAAAATATTGATAAATAATATAAAAATACCCTTTAATTAAATAAAATGGGTACATATAAACACATAAAATATAACTAATACTATCGAAAAAAATAAAAATCACTGTACTCAAATGCCGTAAAAATAGATTATTAAAGCATATTTTTATTGATTTTACTAATAAAGGAAATAATTTAAGTTTAAATTATAAGATAAAATTGTATTTAATAAAAATAATCTCATGATCCTTGCTACGAAGAATATGATTACTTTTTTCAAAATCAATTAATAAAAGAAATGAACGTAGTTCATCAGGCTCGTGATCATACTTAACATAGAATGTGGTTCGTTTTCACTAATTTGATCAGTTTGTACTACTTGTGCACATTCCAAAGATACATTAAGTTAGTTTTTTTTGCTAACACAATGTTGATAAAAAATACCTACAAAATCAGATGGATTATTCAAATATTTTGATAAAGAATTTTTTTTTGTCGCTTTATTAATTTGTTTAGTCTTGTATCCTGAATTTTTACAATCAATTCTTTTTGTTTTTGTTTTTAACAGCCACATCATGTAATAAACGAGTTTTAAAATTATTACTCAAATTACTAAAAGATTGTTTGGCATTAAATTTACTCACATGACAGTAGTAAGAGTAGTAAAAAGTAGAATTTCTTCTTTTGGTTCCTCTAACTTTGTTATAAAATTTTTTTTTTGTAACAATCCATACCGGAGATGACAAAATAAAAATTAAATTAAGTAAGGAGTACTTTTAAATTTTAAGATTCTTCTATATTACAAACTTTTCTACAGCTTTTTCCAATGAAATCCATGCTTTTATATTTAAACTTATTCAGTTGTTAAAAGATTTTTTTTTTGGTATAGTTAAATTTTTTCTCTATTTTTTCCTCTATACTTTGCTATAAGACACATAGCTTTATCCTTTTTATGACCTTCTTCCCTTTAACCATATTTGTTTTTTATCATTTGTTTTTAAACGATAAAGTAATTATTTTCTTACTTCATAAGTTTTACTATTTAGTCATTCTTATGTTTGTTTCTGAGACCACATTGTAAAAGCCTAGAAAGTTTGAACATTTGCATTTGGTTTTATGCGTACCATTAAATTACAATGCCAACTTGCTATAATTGCAATGCCTCTTTAACTTTCTGATGTTATCAACTTGTTGAGTTATCTTTATAGCTAATGATTTTTTACAGCAAAGCAGTTCGAACATTACACAAAACATAGAATATACAGGATTGTATGAGAAATCTTTTAATGTTAAATACCAATAATAAATTTCTTTATTAAGCATTTTTATCTAAATAAATATACAGTTTTCCAGAAGTCAAGCCAAACAAATATTTAAATTTAAGACAGTTATTTACATTAACTGTTTTCAACTTATAAATTTTAAACAGTTAATGTAAATTATGTAATACAATTACATTTTAGTTTTCAAAATTTAATAACAATATAGTTGTTTACATATCAAAACAATACAAATATTTTTTAAATAGCATACACAATGTTATATATGCAATTTACAGTGTAACTTACAAAATGATAAAAATTACTAAAAAATTTCCCAATATTTGAATTGAATTTAAAATTAAAGTATTTACATTTAATTACAATACTATTCAACTACAGAAAATGTATTTGTACACAATATTATTCAACTACAGTTTTATTGAAAAACACTCATTGAAAGTTTCAAGGATTTTGTAAAAAAAAAACAATAAAGTACAAGATTATTTTATAAGAAATGCAAGGAAATGCAAGCAAATCTTTTGCAATGGGATAAAGTTGTACAACAAATTGCCAAATGAATTTAAATCTCTTGACATGAAGGGATTCAAGAATCAAGTCGTTAATCTTTTAAAAGAAAAAGGATGTTTTTAAAAAAAGACATAAAGTTTTATGTACTAATTTTACAATGAATAAAATAGCTGTAAACAGGCTGATCATTATCATCATTATCATCATCATCATCATCATCATCATCATCATCATCATCATCATCATCATCATCATCATCATTATCATAATCATCATAATCATCATCATCATTATCATCATCATCATTGTCATCATCATCATCATCATCATCATCATCATCATCATCATCATCATCATCATCATCATCATCATCATCATCATCATTATCATCATCATTATCATAAAAATAATAGCAATCATAATAATAATAACAATAATAACAATAATAACAACTATTATTGTTATTACTTTTTACTAAGTAAATAATAATTGTTTATCAGTAAGTAAATCTACTATAAAACTGAAAAAAATTTATTTCAGTAATATTACTTTTAAATATAGTTAATAAGAAAACTTATACAACAATTAAAGCTAGATATATCACCCTAATTATTCTATATCTTTATACAAGTAAAGACCATATACGTGGACATTTCTTTTCAACATAAAAAGTAGTCTAACGCATATATCTTTGAGTGCGTTTACTAATGTTAGTAAAACGGGAGCATTTTTACAATTTACTAGTTGAAAAACAAAAAACCCACCCTATTTAACCACAAAAATAAAAAATAAAAATACATACATTATATTAAAAAATAGTCGTTCTTTTCTGAAAAAAAAACGATACCAAACATGTATTTAAATTTGTAGTTTTTATGGTATTTTCAGTTTTCGACACCTACCTATTATCGTTTCATGCATATTTTGGACAAAGCTTTTTTAAAAACAAACTACGTTTTTTTTTCCCTAAAAGAAAGTCACGTGACTAAACTCCCTAATTCATGTTTAAAAGTTTTTTGTTGTTACTATGGTTTAATTGTAACTGAATAGAAGAGTTCAAAAGTAACTGAAGGAGAAACAGACTGCCGAAAAAAATCATATAAGTATTATATATACATACATACATATATACATTTATATATATATATATATATATATATATATATATATATATATATATATATATATATATATATATATATATATATATATATATATATATATATATATATATAAAATCTTTTCTTGAAATAAATATTGAAATATTGATTTGAGGTTACAAAAAACTAATAGTTCAATATTTTGGAATTTTCTCTTAAATGATTTTAGGTAACAAAAGGTAGAGTTAGCTCTAGGTTTATTTGCATCATTACAATGATGGCG